AATAATAGAAAGAGGTTTTTCCCTCAAACATCTGAAGGACTGTAATTAATTATATTAGGTCTAATAGAAAAAGGTACATAATTTGTGTTTTTTGCCTCCCTGAATATAGCTAGTGTAAAGTTACCCAAAGACTAATACCAGAAATTTAACTAATGCCATTTACTGTCCATAACTTAGGACAAGTAAAGTTAAAAAAATAAATCTTATTTCAGATTGATTTAAATTGGCTAATTAAAATAAATGAATATTCATAAAAACTTTGTTGTACTGGACAGGAAACTGTTCCTGAAGCATTAGCTATTTTTTTTACTAATGGTTTATCTCATAGTAAACTTGCTTAACATGCAATGAATCCAAACCAGTCATATTTCTGTGCATAAAATTGAAAATTAAAAAGTTATCAAGACTGCATTGCAAAATTTCCAAAAGCCTCTTAATATTATTTAAATCAAAAAAGAAGGGGGATAGTGGAATAATCCCCTGTGAGTAAATTACATCAAGAAAATTTTACTTTAAAAATTATTTTTCACTTGTAATGCTGAAGACAAGATACCCATGAAAACACACATGGTGTCAAAATAAGCCAAAGGAAAATCATTTGGGCAAATAGGAAAGGCTCCCACGTCTAGTTTATAGTAAAGATTCCCTTATTAACCTTTGGTCGAGAATATGTTTGTATATTTCCAGAAAACTCCTCCAAGCCCGTGTGGATTTCCTGCAACAACAGATCCCAGAGAGAAACTGACCAGATTGCTCCAGCCAGGAAGACAGGAGGAGAAACAGTCCAGAGATGGAGATGGTGAAGACGCCTTGCCACGCTAGCAGTCAACAGCTGTGCGTCGCTGCAGGTTGCCCAGGACCCAGCCAGAGAAGGTCAGACCTGATTGCCACCATTTGCCCACCATCCAGAACTAGCATATCATTGCTGGCGTGTACACATAAGGAACTGTTGGACATGGAAATTGGGACTCAAAGAACTGTTGGCCCAGAAAGAAACTCACTACAGACTGATTCATCTGCCTCTCAGCATAACCACTATTGCTTGTCTCATTTTTGTTCTCATGTTTATTTCTAGTCTGCAGATGTGGAATGAAGAGTCTTGAAAGGACTGGAACCCTTTTAGGTAGCATTCACTTTTCAAGACATTTTAAGGAAAAGAGAAGGGGGAGATGTGGGAAGCTGCCTATTGTCTTCACTAGCAGAGAGGTGTGGACAAGGAACCCCGAAGGCTGGTGACCCTTGAAGCCCTGGCAAAGGTCAGAGCTGTGCACCCACTGTTAGTCCAGACAATGGTAGCTGAAGCAACTTCCCCGTTTACTATTATGTAAATCCTTGCTGATGGGCTAGTCTGCCTGTTACTGGAAATTGCCTGCCTAAGGGCTATGGGTGTA